GAGAATGAAATAGGGTAGGAAGATGCAAAACACCTACCTCTTTATGTACACTAGTTACTAAATAATTTGTAAGCAACATTATTGGAATGCTATCTATTGTGAAAGTGTTGTTTATTAATGATATTAGCTAACTAAAAAATTTACACACCATGGACTATAAAAATTAAAAGAAAAAAAAAAAGATGAACTTCATATCGACTCATTTTCTCATAAATTTTTTTTAATATTTTTTTATTACAAAAACGATCACGATGATGGTGTACAACATTAAATCATCTTATGGCCTGCTTTTGTTATTATTATTATCAATTTGAAAATTTTACTTGTTTTACTTTTTCTTTAATACTCAAAATTGCTGAATTTATTCACTATTTATCAAATGTCTAAGTAACAAAGAAAAAATAATTTCAAAACTTTTAGAAAAGACAGTGCTAAAGTTTTAATAAATTGTGCTAAAAAATTTAATTATTCTCAAATCATTGAATGCTTTACTAATTATCAAATGCCCAATAAAAATATAATAATATATCTTTTAGAAAAAGACAATGCTTAATTTTCGTTTGACAAATCGTACTAATATAGATAATTAAACAAACTCTTGCAAAGGTAGTTTAGAATTCAAGTGTTTTGGAAATTGTCACTAATTCTCGTATAGATTCTTAGTTCGAGGACTAATGGATAGGAAGGCATAAGACACCTACCTCGTTATCTGCACTAATTATTAAATAATTTGTACGCATATTTATTAAGATAATTTATGGAAGTTTTGTTTATTAATAATATTTACAAAATATGAGATAAAAAATAAAAAATAAAAGACAAACTACATCCCATGTTTCACATAGACTTTTTTCTCTAGATGATTATAACATTTCCCAATTAGCGAAGTACATCCCATCTTAATCACATATTTTCGAAAAACTCACACTTCTCTCACATGTCTCACATTTGCCAAAAAGTTAAATACCCTCTTTTTTCAATCTCATTTGATTCTCCCTTCCATTAACAGAAAATGATTGTGCAACTAGACAATTGATTTCGAGTCTTCTATAGGTGGAATACATTACATGAAAGATGTTGAGAAACCGATTTTCCTCTTTGCCACATGTTTTTCCCCTTTTTTCTCTAATAGCCTTTCGTTAGACTTTCATAAATCTTCTTTTAGGCATTGATTTTGCAGCCATGTGTGAACCCTAAATTCAAACTTAATTTCATGTGCCAAAACTACATCATTTCGACTAATACAGAAATTTGATTGGGCTAGATTTTAGACAGGCTTGATTGGGTCCTTTTAGATTTGGGGTTCATGCATACAAGTTTATTAGTTTTTTTTCGTGTTAAAATATTAAAATGTCTTTTGAACTAGTTAAAATTTATAATGAAATATTGTATTTTCAAAGTTTTTCTTGAATTTCTAAAAGGTATAAAATATTTTCTATCTGTTAGCTTTATCTACCAATGTCTATTGTCGTTACGAATCACCTTACTAATAAGAAGTCAAGTTATTTTTACTTCAAATTTATTGATATGGCGTACATGTCAGTGCCTACGTGGATGTTATGTCAATAAACATTTTAACCCCCTTTTGCCCCATCTAAACGAGTTTTTTAATTTATACCATGCTTTCTTCTTCTTCATAAATGCAATCATCTATACCTTAAACCAAAAAAACTCCCTCATCTCTATGTCATCGACTTCTTTAAAGTATTGATCCTCTCATATGTTCCTTCATAATGATGTGTACTTTGCACCATACATGCTAGGATTGCTTTTGCGAAAACATGCTTCCATCTTTAAATTATTTACAGCCTCCTTTATCTTTGTGCCTAAATCGAAACAAAGCAAACTTCAATCTTCGAACAATACAAAGGTTCGTTTATGCAAACTCTTGAATAATTTATGCTAACTCATAAAAGAAAGGTGATTGTCTTTTGCCAAAATCCACAAGAACACATTTATGTTAATTCCTTCATTTTTATGCTTGTCACCAAGAAAAAGTATTATCGTATATGAGATGTGGTCTGGATTGTAACTTAAGCAAATTAGTTTATCGATTTTAGTAAAAAGAATTAATAAAATATGTTATTATTAGAGGAAATTAATACTTTATTAAGTCAGCATCAGTCAACACGTTTTTAATTCCTTTTGGAGTTTTAACATAATCATCTAAGATCATTATCAGTAACTTTAAATCCAAAAAAAAAAAACTTTAATTTTCTTTACATAAGTATACAGAGTGACTTATGATTAGAGAAAAAATGTAATGATTTGGTTTAAGGTTCTTTACATCATGTGTTTTATCAGTTGTAAGTATATAAAGTAAGTTATCATTAGGAAAAAAAATAATGATTTGATCTAAAACTGTCATATACTTCATTAACTATAAATATACAATGTAACTTATGATTAGAGGAAAAATGTAATGATTTGGTTTAAGGTTCTTCTCATCATGTGTTTTATTAGCTCCAAGCAAACAAAAAAAACTTATGATTGGAAAAAAATATAATAATTTGGTGTAAGTTTCTTCCCATCGAGTGCTTCATCAGCAATAATAGACGCATTTTAGAAATCCTTAACGTAATTTCTTAACATCAAGTTTTTTATTAGAAACAATAAACTTCTTCAAAAAAAGTTAACAATATGGAGAATTTTGTCATGTTCTCTAAAATTTACAGAGAACTTTGGACAAAAATACTTCATGGAGAATTTTAAATATTTTCATGTAATTCAGTAGATATTTTAATATTTTAGTTATTCTTTCACAAAAAAATATCTCATATCAGAGAAAAAAATACACTTGTTGTGTGTTTATCATTATTATTTAAATGCTATGTAATAAATGAGTATCATAAATTTAAGTAGAAGAAAAATAATTGAAGTAAATTATATATATATTTAATAATTTTGTAGTTATAAATATTGATGAATATTATTATAAAGGACTGGAACTTAAAAGAAAATAAAATCATAAATTGAATGCGGAAGCGAAATAATAGAGTTTAAGGTTTACATTTCTTACACAATAATTTAGAATGCCCAATAGTACTACAGGAATGATCATTCTAAAAGAAATTATGAAAATTAAGGAAATAAACAAAAAACTAATAACTGCACATTCTAGGACGACATTCACTAGTTTTTGAAGGAAATCCGGGTTATGAACTATTCACAACCATTTTGTTGATCGGGATCTGGGTCTTATTCATCTTGATCTGAAATAGTTAATGAAAGGGTAAGCTACACTAACTCAGTAAAAATATCGTACTACTCACTAATATAGAAACTGAAGGTTGGTAAAAATCATAAAAACAACCAATTGAGCTCTTAATTTAAATAAATTCACTTATCATAAAGAAAACTATTTATTGCATATATTTATCGTTTGCGAGATTTTCAAAATCGACCTATAAAGACAATAATCTAAATAACATTTCAATCTTATATTCAAGTGAGAAAGAACAGTAATTTTATTTATTTATTTGTCTACTGGTATCCCTGAGGGCCCATAGGGATGTTTCATTACGCGTGAACTATTATTCAACGTTACCAACTAACCGGTCTTCCCCATATCCCATCCAGTATAAATACCAAAAATACTATCCCTCAATATCCCGTCCGGTATGCGGGTGAAACGAGCCGTTCCCATACTCCGTCCGCTATGAACGCCAAAAATATTATTTCTCGATACCCTGTCCGATATGAGGCGACGTTTACGGTAAGATTTTCTATATACCCGATATGTTCACCATCTCTCATGATATCTAGTAAAGCTACCATTCATTCATTCACTTAACCAATCAATTTTTCATTTACATTTAATTTTTAGTTTTACAATTTAACCGTAAATCAATGCAGGAAAAATAATACATGCATTAAGGAAACATAACTCAATTATTTTATCAATTTTAGTATATTATCATGTATTTAAAGCTGTAAAACAAAACAATTAGTTATACAAGACAAACAATAATAAATAACCGGTTCTGTCTCCATTAGTAATCTGTAATTAATTCTCGAAGATTTTCAAATTACGCAAAATACTGTATTATTGATAATTAAATTTCAATTCCATAACAGAGAATAAAGTGGGGGATTTTTACCCAAATCGGTGTCCGAAATATCGAACTTTCTGCTGTGTCTACTGGCGGTCTTTGGGTTTCCTGAATTTTTTTTGCGGATATTAAAACACGCTTCACGTACCTAAAAATACCCCAAAAAATTCAAAATCGATGTTAAAAAATTTTTTCGGCCAATTTTAGAATTTCGGCACGCACCGCTGTGCTCCAGCGACGACACCACCACCCACGGCAGCGGTTTGCCTCGAATTGATCATTTTTTACCAATTTTGGCCGGTTTCGGCCGATTTTATACCAATCCCTGCTAGAAAACACGTTAGGGGGACTGGGTTTATCAAAAAAAGTCAAAAAATAAAAACCTAATAGCGACAGAATTTTTTGGTACGGCGGCTCCACCGCTCACCTTTGCGGCTGGGTGTTTTTCTTTGGTCAACCTGTAAAAAACAAAACGGTAAATACAATGGTAGAAAAATCACACGAAACAGGAAACGGGAAGGGACTCATCGAAGGCAATTTCACATTTTGCCCGCAGTGGCGACGCCAGGCTTTGCCCATAGTTTCTGTCTCATCCACCGATCCTTTTGCTTCAATTTGTTCATGGGAGTGTTTGGAATCAAATTTCGAATGAATAGAAGAATTTTTACCTTCTATGGTTTTGATTATTGGAAATGATTAATGAAATAATTATTTTCCGTTAAGATTCATAATGAGTAAGACGAATTAATGTAAATGATGGCATACAGTTTCATGATAGGTAATTATAAAAATTATATCGACTAAAATTAATAGAAAACTATTTTAATGAAATTTGATTTGACCGAATATTGTTTGACCTTATTTTCTAATTAATATGTTGACTCCACGTGAAAGTATTAATTTCATGATGTAATCTCCATCAACAGAATCAATGAATTGAATTTTCAAGCAAATTAAGAATAATAGAGATGATAATGAAAAATGAAAAAGAAAAAACAGAGTAAATAATTACAGCACAACAATAGCTTACAAGTTTAGAAAGCTAATTCTCTCTTTTGCTCTGTTTTATGACACAAATATACTACCTTAACTACATATATACATATATAATGACTAAAGTTTAAAAAGAGAAAATAAAAGAATCATTAAGTGGAGACTACATTTATATATTAGATTATAGACTAGACCAATTCCAGAGTTTTGCCATTATCTTCAGGGCCATCTGCAGGTATGAATCTCTTCCAGAACCAGTGTTGGCTCTAGACGACGGACATGTTTTCAATGGGGACGTTCTTGGTTTCTGGCAAGAAAAAGAAGATGAAGTAGGTCATGATGGCGATGAAGAAAGCAAACATGAAGAAGAGTCCGAACTTCATTCTGCAGAGCAAGCTGAGGAACAGTTGAGCGATCAGGAAAGTAAACAACATGTTGACCAAAATCGTAATGCTCTGAGTTGCCGATCGGATTCCCAGCGGCGACATCTCGCTCGGCACCAATCAACGCAGAGGTTCCCACGACCACAGAAATGCCGCCACGAATAGACATATGAATGTCACCACAAGGATAGCAAACCACGTCGGTAGCTATCTCGTCTCCCCGCTCACCCTAAATTTCCACCATATAAGCGCTGCCACCATAATTTGTATACATGCAGAGTTTGTGTTAATTACAACAACTATATATTCATTCAATTATAATTAAAAGGTATTCTTTAGAATTACGTACCTGACATATAAACATTTGTACTCCACCCTAAAGGAACAGAAATCTTCTTCCCCACTTATCAGTTGCATAGATAGATACACTGGTTGCAAACACATTAACCAAGCCGGTAATGACAGATGAGAGAAGAGAAGCACTGCCTCCGAATCCTAAAGTTCTGTAAAGCACGAGAGCGTAGAACATGACGACGTTGATACCAGTAATCTGTTGAAACAGAGGTATAAAGATAACCATGATCAACTGAGGACGATGGCTCTCTCTCAATTTCCTCCATGGATGTTCCACGGCCATGGAAGCCTCACTTGCAGCCACCAAGTCCGTGAACTCAGCCTCAACTTGGTCCTCGCTAACTCCGCGAATGCGTCTAAGCATTTTGCGAGCCTCCTCCTTTTGGCCTTTCTCGAGCATGGAGTTGGGGGTGTTAGGGAGAAAGATAGCAGAGAGGAAAACGAAGAGTGCGGGGACTGCTGCACACCCCAAGCTCACACGCCATCCCAAGTCATGGGGGATCTTGGCAGTGAAGTAGTTGATGATGTTGGCAACGAAAATGCTGATGGTGATTGACAATTGGAAGACAATATTGAGACGACCCCGGTGCTGGTATGGAGCCATCTCGGCGACGTAAACTGGAACTGACTGAATGGAGAAACCAACACCGCAGCCCAAGAGAAGACGACCGATGATGAGCATAGTGAGATTTTGGGATGCGAAGTTAATAGCAGCTCCAGCGAGAAAAACTAAACTGGTGAAGAGCATGGGAATTTTTCTTCCCCACTTCCTGGTAATCTAAGAAGTGAAAAAGGAAGTAATAAATGCATCCAAATAGAGAGAAGAAGTGAAGACGGTGAGATTGGTGTTGTCGAACTTGCAGTACTGGTTGGTGGAAGTAGTTAAAAAAGCTAATTGTTTGGTGTTGTGTATGGGAGCTGGACAATTCTCAACCAAATATAATATTCATTCATTCATTGTCATCTTAGTAAAAGGGAGGATACATTTATAAAGCTCTTTGGCTCCTAACAGATAAAACCGAAAACAACACAAGAAATAATAGAGAACCTAAACAACACGGAATAAGCAGGAAGTACATGCAACTTTAATGATTTTTAGAGATGGACAATTTGGCTCTCAAGCTGAAGACGATTGCATTCCAGTTTTCGACCAAGCGTATTTGTCTGAGGTCTATGGGATGAGTTGGAATGTTGACTGGAACTTCCCGCTGATCTGGACAAGTTGGCACACTTGTCTTCTAAGAACGATTGTTGCCAGTTGTTCCTGTTCTCAACATTCTCCCTCAAACTTGTCAAGGGAAGCGGTTGGTGAACCAGTCCAAGTTTTTTCCTGAAATACTTAATCTGTGTTTGTGATAGGGCCTTGGTGAAGCAATCAGCAGTCTGATCACATGAGGGCACGTATCTAAAGTTTAGAGCACCTTTTGTCACTTGATCGCGAACAAAATGAACGTCCACTTCAAT